ATTTGTTTGCTTCTACATGTACTTGCCTCTTCTTCAGTTCGCTTCCTTTTCCCATTCTGGTCAGACTCCTGATCCCACTACTTCTTCTGCCTTGATAAATTGGTGGTCTACTTCAAGAAACACGTCCATGGTAGCTAGTGGGTATAGCTCAAGCTCCCATTTCAGCTTGCAATGTTTCACTCCCTTCTTTGCTGCTATAAGTTGTATGGTAGGATCCAGGTCCGGGATCTGAAGACGCTCCATGTTGAACCTCCTGATGTATTCCATGAGTGTTTCATTCGACTTTTGAATGACCTTAAACAAGTAGGTCACTGATTTGGAGTGTCTCTTACTAGTGGTGAATTGATTGATGAAAAGCTTGGCGAACTGGTCCCATTTTTTTATGGAGCAGGAGTCAATCTAGAGTACCGGAGCTAGGCTTCTTCTTTCAATGTTGTGGGGAATGCTATACATATGCTGGCATCGTTTGCTCCATGGAGGAGCATAAGGGCCTGAAAGTTGTTTGCATGCTCCATTGGGTCTGTCTTACCCTTGTAGGACTCCAAGGTGGGAGCCTGAAAGTTCTTTGGTCATAGGGCTTTAAGGATTTCAGGGGCCAGTGGGGTCTCTCGTGTTAGGTAGGGTGGTTTAGAGAGTGAGAGTAATGCTGTTTTCCCTGTGTTGGGCTCCATTGCTTGCGCAGGCAAGCTAAACCATCCTTCTAGCACAATGCGTGTGCTTCTTGGTACCTTCGGTCGAGCTAGTGACGTTAGTCCTAGCGGGAACCTCAGCTCAGCTTTCTACTGGGACTTGATCATTTCAACCTACATCCTCAGCATGGTCTTGGTCATCAACCCTGTCTGGGACCTGAACCTGGCTACGTACTTGAGGGTGAGGTGGGTCTTCATGGTTCAGGCTGTTGTTCTGAGGAGGCAACTGTTGGCTGTTCCTGGGTACTTCCTGGTTGTTACGCAACACTTGTTGGTCATTGGCCGACACTTGCTGACTGTTAAGTGGTTGTTGCTGATTGTTACACGGTACCTGTCGACCATCCCATGGCATCTGTTGGCTGTCGCGACACTTGATGAATGGGTACTTGAGGGTGTCGATGTTGTTGATATTGTTGTTGTCCAGTAATAAAGGCAAACCTATTCTCCTAGGACCTAATTTGCTTGGTCATGGTCTGTACGCATCGTACCAAGTCGTTGAATTGCTGTACATCAACTGCCGCGTGGGCGGCTACAGGGTCAACAGGCGGGGGAAGTACATTCATGTTGCCTTGAGCTTCAGTTGGAGGCAAAGGGACACCAATCTGGTCTATCACGATAGTGGAATCTGGCTGTTGATGTTGTTATTAGTAGAAGGATTGTTCAAAGATGCCATTGTGGAAATTTTGGGAAAGAATGAAAGAAAGAAACACAAGCTTCTTGTTGTGTTTCCATAGATGATGCCAATTAGCAATGCACAATCTGCTCGCACCCTTGTGTCCAATGACTGGGCTCGAATTAGGTTTTGATCTAGCAGTGCCGAGCTGGAAAGAGCTATGAAGAAAGAAGGATTAAAGTGCCTGGGTAGGTTTTACCCAGGAGAACACTCTGATGCTTAAATCAGAATAGGGGTTTCTGTGAGAATATGTGAGAGAGTTCAAGAGCTTTAGTGTGCATACCTTTTAGGGTGGATTTAGTCTTTTTATAGCTATTTGAGGTTTAGGTGCCATCAGGCAACATCTTTGAGTCTTTTGCAGAACTGTTTCCGCAGTTTAAGGCGTGTTGGAGTATTAGTTGCTAGATTCACACAGCGGTTACAAGTCGCTCGCGGGTCTTGTGGTGCACGGTTTGGTGAGCTGTTTCTATGGTCGCGGTAATAGTACCCGCAAGGGTGCGGCGCGTGGAACGGTTTAGGTGAGCTTGTGCCGACGGCAGCCCGAGCTCACCCTAGCTTGGCCGCACACCTGATGTTGGTTGCCACGTGTTGACTTGTCGACTTGTCTTGCTGACTTGGACGCTGTGTTGTCAACAACGTCCATGTGTCGGTAGTTGTGTGGGGTGACCAAAATGCCCCTCATCAGAAAAAAGAAGAAGAAATTAATAGTTTATTATTTGAAATGTATAGTTTATATGAATCTAAAGTAACAAGAAATAATAAAAATTCCACAACTTATACAGCTGCATCTTCCACTTCTGAAATTAATTTTTATTTACAAGCAAATTTTTCTACTTTAGGTGATTTTTCCTTCACCTCGAAGGGAACAAATAATTTTGATATTTTAGCCTGGTATAGTGAACATGCAAAAAATTATCTAGTTCTTGTTACCATGGCACACGATCTACTAATCCCTCTGGTGTCTATAGTTCCATCGGAGTCTTGTTTTAGTGAATGTACTAGGGTGTTGGATGACAAGTGAAGTTGAATGAATGGTGAAAATTTAGAGATATAAATCTTCTTTAAAGATTGGTTGGATGTTGAAGATAGACTACAAGACAAAGGAGGGCATGACACTACACCTAATGTTTCACCTGAAGCAGAAGATCAAAGTCAAGAACAATAGAAGAAAATGATGAAGACAATATTGTTTGTATACTCAATAATTGTATAGCATTTTTTTTCAAATTATTGTAAATTTTGTTTTAATTTTATTTAATTTATTTGATATTTTTTAATAATGTAATTTTTTATCTACAATTTGTAACTATATTGTATTTTTATATTTTATTAATTTATTCTATTTTCTAATTTTCACATTTCATTCATTCAACCATTGTATGCTTTGTATCATTCAAATTTAAATGAAATAAAATTCCAATTTTTCTTCCAATTTGTTATTCACTTTGAGTCTTTGCCTTTTTGACTTCTTATTTGGTTAAATATTTTTTTTCATTTCTTTGTTAGATTTCTTATTTTTTCAAATAGTTCCAAAAGGAAAATTAAATATTTTAGTTTTACTTAAATAAGAAATAAAAAAAATGTCTGGCCCGGTTTGGCCCACGCCCAAGGCCTGGCCCGTGGCCCAACCTGACATGGCCCAGGTCCAGGCCCAGGCCCCTGGCATGCCCTGCAGCCCGCCCGATCCAGGCCCGTCGCATGGCACAACACGGGCCCACATGGGCTTGGGCTGTGAGCGGTACCGGGCCAACCCCCCAAATTATCTTTGGGCAGGGCGGCACGGCGTAGGACCGCTCTGGGGCTGGCACGGCCCATCAAAAAGAATTCTGTAAGACACCTTAGGAGCACATTTCCGTCTTGGCACATCTTCAAACAACTCAATTGCTTCTTTTAATCTCCTATCCATGCAAAATCTAAAAATTATTACGTTATAGCTAATAACATCCGGCTTACATCCTTTATTCTCTGTCATTTCATTTAAGAGAGCATAGGCTGAATCAAAATCCTTCTCATTACAAAATCCAGAGATCATAGCATTAATGTAAGTAATATTATCAGGTTTGTAGCCAATTGGACAATATCTCATCTTTTAAAAGCTAACAAAGGCCTTTGACCAACGAGGCATAAATAAAAGCATTAGGTTTCAAACCAAAGATCCTCAGCGTATCGTCTTGTAATAAAAAAGCTTCACCCAACTCTGAATTGGCACAGAAGATAGAAATTAGTGTTCCAAAAGTAATTTTATTCGGCTTAATGTCCTTCCTTCGCATTTCATCTTACAACTTACAAGCTTCATCCAACGAGTTAGTCAAATGGCAAGCATTTATCAGATTAGATTGTTGTAACTACAAGCATCGGGAGACGCGTATGGATCCCATTACTATTACCAACAACTGATATTATGAGGGAATTTGTTGTTCGAATTGACATGTTTATTTCTGGAATATTAATGAATAGCAGTTCAGATCATTGACGTTGCAACAAAGACCCCCACAACTTATATTGAAGGATTTTACCATGTTTTGGCAACCAAAAGCAGGAATTCAATCGTAACTTTGAAGAGTTTGTTTGGCCAAGCGAGAGCGGCTGTGGAAGGAGATGACATTGCAGAAAATGATCTCATTCGGGATGAACCGAGTCTCCTGGCTCATCTGAGCAAGGATTTGCTCCATCTCATTGAACATTTTGGCATGTCCAAGCTTAGTGATGATATCATAAGGTTGTAACGGAAGTGCCTTAGAGGATTGTTTGAGTTAGGGTTTCAGAAGAGTTGTAAAGAGAGTTTGGGATTCTTATCGAGAAAAGAGTAGTTTGGATATTTAGAAAACTTTAAACATGAAGAATGCTAACTAAGGGGGTCTTTGTCTAACGGTCAAAGTTCAGGAGGGTCTTTGTCACTGACCCCGTATTACATAACTTACCCTTTTTTTAAGTTACTAATTTGATTATATTAAGCAAAATTTATTTATATTTAATTACAGTAATAAATAAATTTTTATTTGATTACATACAAATGGATTTAAATTTAATGCAATTTATTTACAATAATAGCTATTTAATTAAATTAATTATAATTTTGATTGCATTAGTTTAATTAATTTAAATATTAATTAAAGGTAAATTTCTTAAACTATCCTTATGGTTTATAAAAGGAATATTACATGTGTGACTGCAGTTCAAGGTGGGTAGAAGTTTAGCTAATTGACTAATATACTCTTTAACTATTGTCTAATGCTACTCCTACTATTTTTGACAATTGACTATCTCTACTTTATCATTAATATCTGTTAATATTCTACCAAAAATCTATACATATAACACCAAGTAACATATAATTTTTTAAACTCCAATTTTACCCCTCGTCCCTCTCCCTCTCCCTCCTTCTCCTCTTCCGTCTTCTTCCTTTCAGTAACAATAAACCGAGCTCGCTCGGTCCTTAGTTAGAGGTGGCAATAACCCCCTCTGAAGACAGACATCAACTGAGAAGAAGATTCACTTTCTCTCTCTGTGCATATATTTAAATGGAAGGATTACGGATATATATATATATATTGGTGTTCAGTTGGTTATGACTGAGGATGTACAACTGGCAAGATACAACTGTCCTAACTAACACATGTAATATTCTAACACGCCCTTCAAGTTAGAGCATCTTTGATGCCCAACTTCGACAAGTGATCTCGAAAATGATTAGCTGGGGTAGCTTTGCTAAACAGATCATCTGGTTGTGAGGTTCTTGATACATGCGCAGTGAATAGCTTGCCACATTGGATAAGATCACGGACAAAATGATAGTCGATCTCGATGTGTTTAGGGTGTTCGTGGAAGACTGGATTGGCTGCAATGTGGAGAGTGGTCTTGCTGTCACAATATAGAATTGGAGGGTCAAATATGAGAACTGCAAGCTTAGCAAGCACCCATCGTAACCAGATGATTTCGGATGAAGTGGCAACCATTGCACGGTATTTAGCTTCAGCAGAAGAGCGGGAAACCGTGTGTTGTTTCTTAGTCTTCCATGAGAGAGGGGAGTCACCAAGTAAGGTGAGGTATCCTGTAGTTGAGCGGTGAGTAAGGGGGCAACTAACCCAGTCTGAGTTACAAAACCCTTGGAGATGAAGAAAACTTGAGGTTGAGAAGAACAGCCCAGCAAAGAGAGTTCCCTTGATATAACGAACAACTCTTAGTGCTACATCAAAGTGTTCTTGGTGGGGTTGATGCATGAATTGGCTCAAGCGATTGATAGCAAAACTCAATTCTGGTCGAGTAACAGTGAGGTAGACCAATTTGCCAACCAACCGTCGATATTGTACAGGATCCGAATAAGGTGGACTAGTTGCATCAATAAGATGATTTTGTTGTTCCTTTGGAGTCAAACAAGGTTTGCAATCTTGAAGACTAGTTTCTTGAACAATATCAAAAGCATACTTATGTTGGATGAGAAATATCCCGGCTTCGGATTGTGAAACTTCAAGCCCCAAGAAGAACCATAAGGGAACAAGATCTTTGATGCCAAATTTATTATCAATGTGCCTTTTGAGAGAGATGATACGGGCATGGTCATTGCTTGTGATGATGACATCATCCATAGAGATGAGGATGGCAATAAAGGAATCCTTTGAAGAGGTAGTGAAAAGAGAATAATCAGCAATGAACTGTGTGAAGCCGAGAGTAGTTAAGGCTTGTGTAAATTTTTCAAACCACATCCAAGAGGCTTGCTTGAGACCATATAATGATTTTTGTAGCTTGCAGACATGAGTAGAATCAGTGGTAGCAAAACCTTGAGGGGCAGTCATATAGACCTCTTCATGAAGATCACCATAGAGAAAAGCATTGTTAATGTCGAGTTGGTAAAGGTCCTAACCCTTGATGGCTGCCACAAGTAGACAACGGAGTGTGGCCAATTTTGCTATTGGAGCGAAAGTGTCATGATAGTCAAGACCTTCAACTTGAGTGTATCCTTTTGCTATAAGGCGAGACTTGAAGTACTCAACAGTACCATCAGCTTTGTACTTTATTTTATAGACCCATTTGGAGCCAATGGGACGCTTTCCCAAAGGAAGAGATACAATTTTCTATGTGTTGTTACGCTCTAGAGCTACTATTTCATCAGCCATAGCTTGGCGCCAACGAGGATCTTGGGCTGCTTGAGCATAGGATTTTGGTTCAACATCCAAAGCAACATGGTTTAAGTTGGCAATGGAGGGTGGGAGGTCACATACATTATCATTGAGCCGAGCTGGGGCTGTGGGATGGCGGCGAGGATGAGGGGTATGTATTTGGGCTGGAATGGGAGCTTGGACTGGCTCACAAGTTTGGGTGTTGGGTTGAGGTGTAGGAACAGTTGTTGGACTAGCATCAATAGGTCCATGGTCCTGTGATGGGTTAAGGATTGATTCAGTAGGTAAACCATTATTTATGGTTGGGCCCGAATATTCAAGATCATCATATGGGTTTAGTGGTAATGGCATAACAGTAGTTGGGCCAAAATCTTAGAAGAGAAGTGGACTAGTCTTGTAAGGAAATTTTGTTTTAAAAAAAAACAACATCTCTACTAGTGAAGATCCATCGAGTTTCAAGATTATAGACCCGATAACCCTTTTGTCCATGTGGATAGCCCACAAAAATGCAAGGTTCAGCTCTAGCAGCAAATTTGTCCAAAGGTTTAGGAACTACTTGGGCATAGCAAAGGCATCCAAACACCCACAAGTGATCATATGAGGGTTTCTTGTGAAACAAGGCTTTGTAAGGAGAAATGTTGGACAATATTGGGGTAGGGAGTAAATTGATAAGATATGTGGTAGTAAGTAAACATCCACCCCATAATGAATTGGGTAAGGACCCTTGAAATTTCAGGGCTCTGGCCATTTCCAATAAATGGCAATGCTTCCTCTCAACCACCCCATTTTGTTGGGGTGCGGCAACGCACGAGCTTTGGTGAAGAATACCTTGGTTGCTGAAATATTTCTACACAGGTCCAAAAGTGAATTCAACACCATTGCCATCAACAATAGTAAGGAAATACCAAGCACCGGAATGTGAAGGAGTTTTGTAGCCTCCCCAAATATCATAGTGAATAAAAAAATGGAGAAGGGCTACGTGTATTACTAATGGGAAATGGAATCCGAATTTTCTTGGCCTTATGGCAAGTATCACAACACTTGTCTAAACTAGAAGTAGATATACCAGGTATGAGTTCCATCGAGATCGTGAAGTATGGCCTAACCGCTGATGCCATAGTTCAGTACTGATGTGAGCAGTGGAAGAGGTAGCAACCAACTGTGGTGGAGAAAAAATGAAGTGGTACAGTCCGTGCCGAAGTCTACCTGTCCTAATCACAATCGTTGAGTGTGGGTCCTGATGTGTGCAACAAGAATGAGAAAAGACAGCCACACAATTTAGTTGCCGTGTAATCTTGCTCACAGATAAGAGGTTGCAATGAAATGTTGGAACGAATAAAACATCATGTAAGGTATAAGAACCCATAAAATGGAACCACGACAACTAGCATAAGTGACTAAGTCATTCAGGAGGCGCACAGAAGTATGGATATGTTTACAAACATGGAAATAGGATGGTGAAGAAACCATGTGGTCAGATGCGCCACTATCCATGATTCACTCTATTGAGGTTTCAAAAGACTTACTAGCAGTGGTGTTGGTAGCAAATTTAGAGGATTCACGATTTAGGAGAGACATGAGTTGAGAATATTGGTGCATGGTAAGACCTACTATTGGAGAAGGTTCATTTGCTGGAACCATGGGACCTGTATCAGTTGATGCACAGGAGGCTGACTTGTCAGCACTTGAGGTGTTAGCTTGATGTGAAGAAGTTTTCTCATTCTTGCGCCGATTCCAATGGACTGGATATCCATTGAGCACATAGCAATGATCTTTTGTGTGTCCATTGCGCTTGCAATGGTCACAATAAAATTTGGATTGATTGTTCCCATTCTTGGAACCAATTGCAGCTAGTGCGGAAGCTTCTGGTTGCAGTGGCTATGGGGAAACTACGATATGATGTCGCTCTTCTTGGGTGACGAGCGCGTACACCTTGTTAAGGGATGGTAATGGCTCTGTTACTAGAATACTTGCGCAAATTCCATTGAATCGATTATTCAACCCCATTAGAAATTGGTGTATTTTTTCTTTTTCACATTCAACAACATAGAATTTTGTTGTTCCACATGCACATTTTGGAAGAACTGTGAGGGCATTAAGTTCGTCCCACGACGTCTTCAATTTGGTGAGATAACGGGTTATAGATGAATCACCTTGCTGAAGTAGAGCAAGATCGCGTTTCAGTTGGTGAATTAGAGGAATATTGCCTTGAAAATACCTTTCTTGGAGTTCCTTCCATATATCTACTACTAAATCAATGAAAGCGACGCTTTCGTAAACCTCTCTAGTTAGGGAGTTAAAAATCCACATCACTGCCATGGCGTTGCATTTTATCCAAGCATTGAGATCGGGATCACTTGTAATATAGGTCATGGCAGAGATCCGTTGATGAAGTTGATTTTGTTCTTTGCTCTGAGTGCATTGGTCATCCCTCGCTGCCACAATGAGAAGTTACCTCCGTTGAGTGGAGATGAGACCAGTATGGCACCAGGATTGTCGGACGGGTGAAGGAAGTATGGAGAGTTAACTCCGATCTCCGTTCTTGAAAACAAGCGGATCACCAGGATTATCCTAGGGATGGAGGTAATAAACTGTGGTTGAATCAAGATCTGCAGCCATCAAGAGACTTTGTAAATTCTGTCAAGAAAAATAACAATCTTTAATGACGAGCTCTATCAAGAACTTTGTAAATTCTATCAAGAAATATTCTATTGTAGCAAGAATAGGAATTGGAGATCAAGAAATCCTGATGATGACAAGAACTGTCTTGCTCGGAAGTGACCAGCAGCGATAACCATTGGTCGCGCCGTAAATAGTAATGTAGGGTTATATATATATATATATATATATATATATATATATATATATAGGTGTTCAGTCGGTTATGATTGAGGATGTACAGCTGGCAAGATATAGTTGTCCTAACTAAAACATGTAATATTCTAACACCCTCCACCTTCGGCACCCTCTCTCTCTCTCTTCAGTAAGAGCAAAAGGAAAACAAAAAAGAACTAAAACAGGTTAGCATCCCCCCCCCAAAAAAAAAAAACAACCCACGGGTTGTGAGTGCACCACTGCCTGTCCTTCCACACGCGAATTAGAGGGACTCGTGCTCGCCCAAAAGTTCATCCTTCTCCCTCTCTCGAATTTCTGCTCACTTCAACTCTTGATCTTCTGCTCTCAAAACTGAACCTACCGGAGATTGCCTCCTTTAAATTCTGTTGATTGATGCCAATGACCATTCCGAAGGCAAAGCATTTTTAACAGCGAGAAATGACGAAGATGTCCTCTCAAACGCCTCCTCTTGAAGGTGACGCTAACGTGTCAGTAACACGAACCAAGTGGTTTGTGAGCCTACACGGCTTTTCTTTTCTTCTCTTTTTTATGTTAGACAGTGTATGCCCTTAGCTCCAATCAGAATGATGCACCTTATGACATTTATTGTAAATGAATAAAGTACATATTCGATTCATGTTATTATGGTGTGTTTCTATGTAATACCCTTAAACTGGACACATATGAGACTCGTGTTAGTTTAGAATGTTCACAGACGTTGGATAGATCTGGGGAGATTTATCCTGATAAGGCTGACACTGATGTGCCGCCAAGTTGGTTGGGGTAGCCTGTCTCAGCTGCCAGGGTGAGACCGGAGGTACATGCAGTTTAGGTTTACTTGAAACCTTGAACCAGACCAGAATTCCAGTATTGCCCTGGACCTTGGTGATTAGTGGGCAAAACTGGAATGTTACACCTGACCCCTAGACTCAATTATGATACTGCACTAGGTGTTGGATTGGGCTGTCTTTGATATGTCAATCAGTGAGATCCTTAGAGGGGGTCAAAACCTGGGTATGTTGGGATAGTTCGAGAATTCATCTGAGTGGGTGATCATAGTGACAGGATTAGCCCCTTTGTCGAACAAAGGTAATGATCGGGGATGCACTCTCTCTGATTGAAACCAAAGTTGCCGGTAGCCGATTTCAATCGTTGAAATTTGTTTTTGCAAAATATATTTTTATAAAGATATGCATATATATTATGGTTTCAAAATGTTTGCAAAAGGTTTTAATTCCCAAGATCCATGTGAGTAGAGAGTGCAACACTGTTCCTTGAAGCCAAGGGAGAGGTCCTCTCTTGTCGGGCAATGCTTGATCATTATGGGCTGAGTGGTTAAGTGTAAGACCATTGAGGGTAATACCTAATGGGCTAATCTTGCATCTGCCCACAGTCCCTAGGTTTTTATAAGGTGGCTTGGCCCATGGACCACTTAGTATAAGTGTTGGGCCCATTAAGAGCCCATGGTGATGGGCTCAGGGGTTCACTGTCCATAACAGTGAATTCGGCCAGGCCTTGTAACAGAGGCTAAGCTGAACCCATGTGGCTGATGTGTATATCAATGTTTGGGTCCCACACCATACAAGGAAACCCAACTGGGCAGCAGTTTGAAAGGTTAGTGAGCACATGGACTTAATGGCCCTAAAGCTCAATTCGAACTGGTTTAATTAGATTATTTAAAGAGGGGCGGATTTGGGATTTGGATCATCATATAGGATAAGGTATTATCCTTATCCACTCAGAGAGTCCAGATCCAAATACAGATTTGGATTTGGAAACTCCTAATAAGTTTAGGAGGGCTGATCTAATCTGCATATAAGATAAGAGCTTATCCTTATCTC